CTAGGTACGTTTTTTTCCAGAGTTAAAAGTAATTCTTGTCTTGTATTTCTACTGTGGAAGCTTTTAGGAAATGTTTACATTTAATAGAAACGTTTGCAGTTTTACAGCATCTTAAGATGAAGTTGTGATACTGCACTTTGAACTTCTTCTAAACATGGGAAGTGTCTTGTAAAATTTATTTTTTTTTTTCCCTAATTTTTCAGAGTAATTTTGTGGAAGTGAGAAGAAGCCTTGATTTTGTTTTGTCTCCTAGATTATTAACATGGTTAAGTAAAAAAAAAAAAGTCAAGATAACTGACGGTGTTTGTGATGTACAGTTTCCGTTTATTGCCCAATGTGAAGTTGAGCACAGGGTTTTACTGAGAGTGTGTATCTGCTTGCACCTCTTGCTGTACTGGTTAAATATGTTCTTATCTCAAGTGCTCATCATTTTTAAAAAGCTGACTTAGCACAACCGTTCCTGGAGTTCTGCAAAATAAAGAGTTTGAATGGGCTCGTCTCTGGTCCAGGCATAATCAATTGAGCTAATTAAAACTGCTGAAACAAACCTGATTGACTTTTCATGAAACGAACTGAGAAGCTCTTAGTTATGTGCTCGGCCAGCAGAACTGCAAGGCAGAAGCAGGTTGTGCGGGAAGGGGGGATGGGAATAGTGACATTTTGACTCAGCACCATTTCTTGTGGTGAGAGCAGCTTGTGTGTGCTCGGGAACTGACCATCTGCACGTAGGAATACCCCGTATTTTCAGGAGAAGACAGTCCCTCCCCAGTTTTTGCTTGTTCTTAGCAATGCACAAATGTTTATAGAAAGCAAACCAATGAATCATTAGAAGTGTTCTTCATACAATGTCTCCTTTAACTGCAGGCTGGTGGTGTGCTGGAATGTGGGGCTATCTTTGTGGCTGTTTCTTTCATCAGTCTGATTCTTTTGAAATCATTTTATTCTGTATTTTCCATACTAGAGGTTTACAGAAAAATGTTTATACTACAGCTTCAAACATACACTGAAACGCTAGAAAACCTAAAGAATTTTTGTGGATTCCTTATATTGAGATCAGATGTGGGAATGTCATATTGAATATCTACTGTACAAAACTCAGATGATTTTAATGGAAAATAAGAATCTGAAATGGTATGTGCCTAGCAGCAAAATAAAAAGGCAAGGAAAGGGAACGGACAGAGAGAATTATGTAATAGCTCAGAATTACACCTTGGTGGTTATAAGTCCATTTCTCTGCTGTGCTGACAGAGAAAGTAATAGCTGCATTTATGTCTTTTTCAATAACGTGAAACTAGTTTCTAAAGGGAAGTGTAGTATATGAGAGAGCCTGCAATGTAAGCAACACATTAATCCATCTGATTGAAATGTCCTATGGGCTGAGGCAGTTTCAGCTGCAGGGCAGTTTGAAAAAAAAAAAACACAGCAGTTTTTAAAGTGTGTAACAAAACTTTGGACATTTTTAATTTTTTCAATAATAATGTGTCAACTGAAACTTGGGTTTATTGATTTTTATTACTCTAAAAGTTAGCTTAGAATGTAAATGGCAATAATATTGGTGATCAATAACTGAAGATGAAGTGCATAAACAGGATATTTTCAATAGGACAGCTTATTTGATCATGAGTCAAACAGATTTCTTTGTTAAGGTTAATGGTTATTGAAGCAAAACTTAATAACTTTAGTAAAAAGCAGTAAAATGTTTACATTATGTGGTTGTTATCATGTTCATTTGTACTCTGGCTGCATTTCATAGACATGGTTTAAATTGATGTGTGGGTATATGCATATCTGCATGTTTGGGAGGGGAATGTAACCTTTTTGTTAGGGAAATCACGGAAGGTCTTTGACTTGTAATCTGCTTTAGGTCAGGAAGGCTTTGGCAACCCCAAGCAAAATGTGCCACATTGGCTGCAAATGATGAGGATCAACCTGTACCTTGACTCTTCCACCTCATCTGTTACAAGTAATAAAAACCTGCTGCTTCTGTGTTTCTTGCCACTGAAACTTGTGCTGACCTTGGCTGGTGGGGGTGCCTGCTCTGGTGAAGGGAACTAGAGTCGGGAGCAAGCCCCCAGTAACGTTTAAAACAGAGGTTTATAGGCTCCGAATTAGATTTATGTAAACTGTAACTGTTCTATGCTTAGGAAGAAGGCCTTTAACTTTGGAAGTACGAATTATTTGGGGGGATTGAATACTGGTACCGATCAGCAGACTTTGGGCTCTTGGACCTTCCTGAGAAGAAGGAAAAGGATGGCAATGGACATTGCTGGTAAATCCTAGCTGAAAGTGTTTAGTTTAAAATTTTGTGACTAGAACTTTTATATCAGATGACGACATTTTGTTCCTGTCCAAAATTGCTAAGAGAACATTTAGTGACAGGTGATCTTATTTTAAAACAGAACATTCTTCATCACAGACGCAATTGTATTCAGAGAAAAATACTTCTGTGGAACGCTGCTGGTCTCAAGAGAGCTTCTGAGAAGCATGTATCTGAAGGAGAGAATTTGTGAAGAAAGGAGCACTTAGTCACTACTAAGACTTTATTTTTTTACCTAGAGTATTGATATTTTAGCTTTATTCTTTTCCTTAAAGGATGCTGTTCCTTGAAAATGCGAAGATTTTTTGAGGTGTGTGAAGATTACTAGCGTTTTCTGTCTTGAGTTGGATTTATCCTATGCTTTTTAGAGGCTGCTCTTCCAAACTCATTTCAAAGGATCTCTTTCCTTTGAGTTTATTTGGGATCTCTGTTCTCTGATATGAACAACTTGGAGACTGGAAGAAGAATATAAAAGTTTTCCTGTTTTCTCATCATCATGGCTGGGCGTCGCAAACAAAGATTTGGGGAGGGCTCTACCCACATTTGTTACAAGCGCACTGGTGGCTAAAAAGGCCAATACGAGAAAGACGCGTCCGGTTGCAAAAGGCACAGCAGAAAGACTCCTTACTTAGGTGGTATATTCTGCAAGGCACCATTCTTTCTGCATTTCCTGTTTTCTAACACAGTGTCATTCTTCATCTGCATGACATTAGTCATAATTTATATGACACCTTCCAGTATCATATAAATGATATGAGCCTTATAGTTCTTTCTGAACAAGAAAAATCTTCTTTTTGGCTTTGTAAGAGCTGAAGATCAGTCCATTTCTTGTTGCGGTAGGGGCTCATTATTTCTTATTGTGTCACTTTATACTGGATTAGTATGATAATGGGATAAATTAGGATACAGACTCAAGTTTATGTTACCAAAATTTTTAAGCTTTACAGTTTATAAAAGGTAGAGGATGTTGATTTAAAGATCATTTCCTAGAATGTGCCATGACAGTGTTTTGTAAACGCTCTGTTAAAAATGGATCCAGGAGAACTAAATTAAATATTTATAATTATTTTATTAGAAAAGACTTATTAAAAGTTTTTTTAAGGTATAATGATTCAGCCATAATAATCTTTTAAGTGTGTCTTTTCTTAGTGATAGAAGTAGACAGGTCTGCATCAGTTGCATTGACAGGTTAGTTAGAAGTAGACTGGTGAAATTGCATTAATATTGCTGTCATGAGCACTCTGTAGAGAGTTTAAATGGCTTTTATTCAGGTTCACTTTTGTTCACTTTATTATGTTCGCTTTCTGAAACATATACCTTTCTAGTTGGTCAGTTTTCCAGCACTTGTATCACCATAGTGTTTGCTTTGGAGGAGATGAAATTAGTTTTTGATATACTATCGCTATAATAAAACTGGTTTTACTTTTAAAGTTACTGTATTCCAGCATTCTTATTATATGCTTTTGACTAGTTTTGTGCCCTTTGGGTGAGTTGATGCCAGAGACTGTCAGTATGTACTACTCAGAATAGTGACTTTGTTTTTTGTGCGTTAGAAATGTCAACTGAAATAATTTAAAATTCATAATTCATCTTTGTTCTCTGGTAGTCCTGTTCTCTTTTTCTTAAGGTGTTTTACATTAATCTAGAAGCTTTTTCTGATGTCCTAGGCTGGTTAGTTCCTTGTGTTTCTGTAACAATATTTCACACATCTCTTATTTTAATGTAGAGTGTCGACAAACAGCTTCTGATATCATGGTCAGAATTTTTTTTTTAATTAGCTTCATCTGCTTCAAGTTGGTCTTTTAAACATAAGATAGTGGGTTTTTTTTGTTCTGTAAATTTGCGTATGTTAAATTAATAGACTGATCTAGACATAGTTGATTTAGTCCAAACCTAGCTGAGTCCTTACATTTCTACCGTGGCCTTAATATCACTTTGAACTAGACAGAGGGAGTTATACCGATTACTTCTTTTTTTAATTTATTTACTGACTTACTTTTCCTGTCTCTTGCCTGTCAGCAGTCAGTGGTTTAGAAGCTTAATCATTTCAAACCAAGTATTTCAGCAAATCAAATATGAAACATTTGTGTTCAGGAGTCAAAATGTTATATATGTGTTAATTGTTAGTAATTAATGACTAATCAAGTAATATAAAAATGATTTTCAATGGTAAATTTTCAAAGACAAAACTAAAAACAAGGAGGGCAAAATTACAATTGGTGATTGAGATTGACGCTTCAATTTCAGCAGATGCCACTGTGTCAAAAAAGATTAGCGGTTGAGAGAAGAATATGATTAATTCTTGTTTTTTCCTTGTCTGTACTGCCTCAAAACCTCTTACTTGTAAAGGTAATACTATTGCATGTGACAGACAGGATTGTAGAATCATTTAAACGGAAGGAACCTCAGGTGTAGTCCAAGCTCCTTCTCACAGAAGGATTAGCACTGAACTCACACAGCATTGTCTGAAGCTCTTGTCAAGTTGGATCTTGTTTTGATTATTTCTTACTTTTGTGATGAAGAAAAAACAGTTGGAAAGAAGAGCTTTTAAACAATTAAACTTCTCTGAAATATGAAATTAATCTTTGAAAATATTCACTGATGCATGAATTTTTGTGAAATATGGGAAGTATGCGAAGTAACATAGGAAGACTTTTTGATAAGTGAATATTTTTCATTTTAGAGCCTTGATGAGTATGAAGATGACGAAGCAGGGCAGAAGGAACGAAAGAAGGAGGATGCTATTACCCAGCAGAATACGATACAAAATGAGAGTTCCATTGCAGATACCTCTAGCTCATACTTACTCCAGGTGAGATCTTAACACTTGTTCATTTTGATATTTTTCTCAGTTTTAAAACTCATACTGCCTTCTTTTTTGTACTTGTTAACAGTAGATTATACCCAACATGAAGAAAGTTCAGGAGTTGACACATTACTAAAAATGGAGCATTGGGTTCCATTCCTCAAACTCAGCACTGCTGAGACCCAGTTCTGACAAGAGAATCCTATTCTTCTGTAGGGGCATTGAAGGTAATGGTGTCGATGTTCACAGTAGAACTTACTATGTAATGAGAGGAAGAAAAACAGGGAGATTCAAGTGAAAAATACTGACAGGTTTAGAATATTCAGTTAGTTGGAGGTAGACTTTTAAATCAGGACAGACTTTCCTAATTTATTTTGCCAATTAACAAACTTTTAATTATAGATTTTGGGACTTAAGCAACACAGAACCTCCTAGGGAAAACACCTTGCCTCTGCAAAACCTTTTCTCCCTTTTTTTTACTCTCCAGTCCCCTGATTAGACTCATTCCTGCAACCCCCCTCCCCTGACATCAAAGCATTGCCAACTATGCCCAGTACCCCCCTCCATACTACACTACCTGTGGCAAATATTCTGTCTATTCCACGTAGTGCCCTAAGTCTCTTAAGCGAGTCTTTTTTCTCTCCTCTTCTGATACCTAACAGCATGTCCAAATCCAACTGTACAAACTGAGGCCATCCAGCTCTGCCCCTTGACTCCAACAGAGGCAACAGCATGTGCACAGGGAATAAAATACACAGACAAACCAAGCACATGGTTTCACACCACCCATAACCGGAGGGGGCATTGCTGGATTTGCTGGATCTGGATGAACCTTCTTTCTAAAATTTTGCTCAGTCTTTCATATGCTCATGGGTGCTTTTAACATTAAGAATAGCCTAAGGAAAGAAGTCTACAGCTTAATTGCCTGCAATGTGGAGATCAGTCTCCTTTTGTTTAAGTTGAATCTGTCATTTGCAATCTTTTTCCTTGTGATTTCAGCAAGTTGTCCCAGTGCAAGATACAGGGAACAGCTGCTCCCTCTTTATATGACTGAGTGCTGCAGAGAGAGTGTGGCTCCTCTCAGCTGCTGGTTCCTTAGGTTGAAGAATTGTGGTTTATTTAGTTGTTCCTTGTACAGGAGATACTCAGTAATGTTCTATACTTTTCCGGTTTGACTATATTTTGTTTGGTACCTGGAAACAGAACCGATGAAGTGTTCAGTACAGCATACAGTTGTACAGTGATTTAGTGTTGGGTTTGGTTTTGTTCTCTGTTTCTTTTCTGATAATTTCTGATATCTGCCTGTTTGTCTCCTGGGTACTGCATTCACTGCTTATGTTGTGTATGCCTAATCTAACTTAACATTTTGGAGTTATCTTTGAGTGATAATAACAAACTTAGAGGCTGATGCATATGGAAATTTAGAAACATATTTGCCTTTTGTCTCACTTGTGTACACTATGCTTATGTACACTAAATTTAATCTCCTGTTTCACCTCACTGCCACTCCCAATAAAGAAATCCTGCATGTTTTCACAGTTGACCCATATCTTTTCTGTTCAGAATAGCATCTCTGGACAGCTCCTCCCCAAATATATTGAAAAGCACAGGTTCCAGTAGGGGTTCCTATGACACTCTTCAGGGTGCTCCATCCACTGTAAAAGCTAACCATCAGAGTCCACCATTATTTTCTGTCTTTTCTCCAGTGATTTATTCACAAAAGGACATTAGCTCTTATTCTAACTGTAGTTTAAGTTCTTTAAGAGGCTTTGGGGAATGTCTCTGAAATGCACTAGGCTGTCAGTTGAATTTCTCTCCTTGACACTTTTTTATAACTTACAAAAGCTGTATTAGCTTTGTGAAGTATGACTATTCTACAAATGCTCTGGTGACTCTTCCACATGATATTGTATTTATTCACTCATTCCATACTTGTTCTAGGCTTCCTAGCACCACTTTATCCAGTATAAGTATCAAGTTTACTCATCTGTAGTTGTCTGATCTGTTTTAGAATCTTCTTAAAGATGGTGATTATGTTATCCATTGGTACTAGGGCAGTTTTAAATGAGGTTATATATAATCTCTAGTAGTTTAGCTGTTACATTTTTCAGTAACATCAGTTTCTTCAAAGCTAAAGGAGTAAATTAATGCCTCATTTTGGCAAGTAACTTTTTAAAAATTTATTTTATTAATTGGTTTTCATGTTCTACACATGCTTCTGTTGGAAGTAGACCCTTTGAGTCCTCCATGAGGGAGTGCTCTGATGTGAGACTCTTACCATGCTTTTTCAGTGAAGACCAACAAAAATATTTCTGCAGAGAAACTGTCTCCTTTGAGTATGCCTCGCAGAACTGGATCTGTTTGTCTTTGTAGATTTGTCAGGATTCATCATTTTGAAATGGTTTTATGCTTTTTCCAAGTTGTTTGACTCTTTCTTACAGTGTTCACCCTGTTTTCACTTCTTCAGCAAATATTCCAGAAGTTGTTACTTTTAGTTTCCCCTAGTGGTATTATTACGTAATGCTTTGGCTAATAGTCCCATGCCCCTTTCTTTTCATCCATATTTTCTATTCTTCTTGACCAACAATCTCAGTTTTTATTTACCAAACTGTTTGTATTAATTGTATCCTACATGTTTCCAAGTTTGTCACCTCTGTATTCCAACAGGCACTACTTTGTTGACAGAGCACAGCAGGAGTGTCCTGTCACAGACAATACATAAGAGACTCCCAGACCTCAAATCTGGCAAAGAGTCAGGGTGGCACATGTACAGAACAGATGGAACCTTAGAAAGTTGTAGCTGCTAAGACTTAATCAGTTTCTTACTGTCTCTGTCAACTTGCTTTTTATTATAAGACTTAGAAGTTGCCCAGTTTGAACAGAATTTGACAGCAGTGTTATTTCAGCTGCCTTTTGGTTCTACTGTGCTAGTTAACAATAATACTGTTTTTAAAAGTAGAGTTTATGTTATAGATGTAAGAATTTGAGTTGCCATTGACCAGTATGCATTTTATGTCTTTGTACTAAGCAGAATAAATACATTTATGTAGTTACAGACATTTCACTGATTTATTCATTCTTATTATCATTTCATGAAATTTGTAAATCTATAATTCCTGTGACTGTAGTAAACAAGACAGTATTGATTTCATGTTTGATGGGCAAATATGTTGCTGAATAACGTTTTATTTCCAATCCCTAATCTGATTTTTCAGTTCTGTTTTAACATTATCATAAGTTACTGTTCTCCTTTTTGTGGGCAAAACACACATTTTTTTGAAAACTCTGGCTGAACTTGAAGTTCTTGATCCAAAGCACAAAGATACCAGATTTGTTTAAGAATAGATCTAAAAATATAGCAGACTTCAGAGTGTTTTTCGTGAAGCAGACTTGTTTGACTGAAATTGTCTTCAGAATTGTTTTATATTGGAAATATGAAAGACGTAGGTCTGGCAATGTTATAAGCATTGAAAAACAATTCCAATCAGAACTGTTAAGTTTAGCAAAAGATAATGTGGAAAGCCACACCTCATGAGGTGAATCAACATTAAATCCACTCCCAGATGTAAGTACTGTATCTGGCTCTGACTTTCTTGCTTGATTTTCCTCCTATTTTTAATGCTGCAGTTCAGTTGTTTTCATCTTGTGAGTTACAGTGCTGTGGACTTCTCCACAGGGATTGCAGACTGAGAGTGATAAGTCATTTGTAAGGAAGCTTAGAACCCTTACAAATGAGCTAAAAATTTGTCGTTCTAAGGCAATGGTAGTCAAAGCTACTACTTCAAAGTTAACTAAAGTTACTATTTTAAATGGAAATCTTTAGAGTCTAGTCATTATAGAAATGTAGCTCTTACTTAGCAGAGATGGCAAAACTGAAAGTAGCGCAAAACTATTTGATAGCAATGTCTTTCTTGCAGTTGGAGAGAAATGATACATTCAGGGTAGTGAACATCTCTTATTTGAAGAAGGTGTTGGTATATACGTACTGTACAGATAACTTGCATCAAAAAACCCACAAAATTTGGCTGGAAAAAACAATTAGGTTAATGATGATTTATTTTAAAGTCTTTTAGGAGACTTACTCAGTTCCAGAACATGAAAAAATGCTATTATTGGCTATTGCTCAAAAACCCCCCACCAAACTCCACCATATTCAAGGCTTTTGCTTTGTATTAAAGCATCCAGGTGTGCTGATACCATCATCAGGTACCTCTTTGAATTCAGTTGTTTGTGTATCTGGTCTCCTAAGATATTTCCCAAATACGTGCCCTTCTTCGTGTAGTCTTGTGGCAGTAGGGTTGACATAACTTTTGTGTTGTTACAGAAGTGATATCTGAACATGGTAGCATGTTGTGATGTCTGTATGTCACCTTATGATGTTCCTGGAAATTTGGAGGGTAAATTGGGAAGGCTGAGAGGATTAATTAAAAGTTAACATAGAGCCTTGCAGTGGGAGACATATGTATACATCCTCCGTCCATTTAAATCTTCAAATCACAACTGACCTTTTTTCTGGCAGTTATGCTATAATAACACAAGAGCATCATTCTCAGTACCTTGGAAGGGCTTTGAAATCCTTTGGTTTATGTTATCTTTGATTCCTTTCTGCTTGCATTGTATTTCAAATGTTGTAGTGTCTGTGAATGCTAGCTATGCTGGACACTGTATGAGCATGCTGCAAAAAAATTCGTCAACTGTGAACAATTGACATTTAAGATATGGGAGTTGAGTAAATATGTATTGTCAAAAGCATCAAGTAACAACATGTTTGAGATCTTAAAAATATTTGTCATTGCTAGAACAGATATAGGTGAGTAAACTTAGATGGACTTTCCTCTCTCCGGCAAACTTGAATGAAGCATGTTAGAATGATTTTTACTACTAACATATCTTGAAAATAAAAATCAATAGAGTGAGAGATAATGGTTTTTTTGCCTGTGAGCATGGAAAGAGGAAGCTCAGAGTCACTTAAAAAATGAGGTTCAGCCTTTTTGAAGTAAATAGTC